ACGCGGGCCCCCCCGCCCGCCCGCCCTGCTCTCCTCCCATCCCTAAGACGGTTGTTGTGTTTTGACGGAAATTTGGCGATGGTCTTCTGTGGATGTGGTTTATCGTTGAACCGCGTTCATGGTGAGAGTCTGTGGCATTGCTACCTTTCGGCGAAGTTCGCTTCCCTGAGCGGTGTGTGGGGCGTGACCCGCTTGTTTGGACAGTGCAAAATCGCAGCTTGACCAGCCTCCCCAGTCTTGAGCGAGAAACGTTTACACCCCTCCACGCCGCCTGATATATACATATATGGTACATGAATTTGTGCTATGCTATTCGCACGCTGCTGTGAAGCATCCCCGATCTGGGAGGAAGTCGCTTTTAAGAGACGAACGCGGGAGGTGGTGTGTCGTTTGGCAACGGACTGGCCTCTCTGTTTTGCTGGTGTACAAGTCTTTTGTGGCAAGAGCGGGACGTCGAGACGCTCGATGTAGATGCGGCGGCGACAGCAGGCGCGATGCAGGGGCAGTGGCGATGAGATGGCGCACATGAAGGCGACCAAGTAGGACGGTATACATGTATAGAAACGTCTCTCTTTTGCTCTCTCGCGGAGAAGTGAAGTATACAAGAATATCCGTCCAAGACAAGGAGAATATCTGCCGGTGCGCGCCCGCCCCCAAAATTTCAGCCTCCCCCCTCCCTTCCACTAATCTTTTTCTAGTGAAGGAATGCGTCACACAATACTTTACACGACACGTTAGACAAGGATGATTGATCCCTGCGGCGGTGACACTAATGTAAACACATGCAGCAGGTACGTCAAGTACCGTGCGAGGGTGTCGGCCCTGGCTCTCGACCCGGCCGTCCAGGGCATCGTGTACTGCGGCATCTTCATGCTCATGCCCCTGAGCCTCGCCCTCATCCCGCTCCTGCTCAAGGAGTCGGTCTACCTCCTGTGGGTCATGAAGGAGGCCCTGCAGATCACTGCCCCTGGTTAGTTAGTTAGTTAGCCGAGTTATGTCGATGTGGTTCCCGGCTTTGCGGCAAGCGCACACGCACACGCACGCACGAATGGGCGCGGGAAACAGAGGGGTCGCCCAGTTGTGTCTTGCGTGGCGGGGTGCATGTACGGAACACGTGCAGTCTTGTGGCTTTTAATTGTCTCGTAGATCGAAACCACCGAGTACAACGAGAGCTACCGAATCTTCAAGCCTGCTGGCTTGGATCTGTTCTTTCGCGGGAAATTTGCCGCCCCATAGCCACAACATTTATTTCTTGCTTGACATGGGCACAACAAATCCACTGTGTCCCCATGTTTACGTTCTTTTTCGCCTCGTAGAGGAACCGAAGCTTCTGTTCTGCATTCCTTTTTTGCTCTTGAAACAGGCTTGGTGGAGACGTTGACGACGCTGTCGGAGCCTCTGATGAGCGTCTTCATGACGGCGGGGGACAGCGAGAAGTGGAGGGACACCCCGGCGGGAGAAAAGCGGCTTTTGCTCGGAAGGCGATTGGCTCAGGTGCGTGCCGCGTTCTTCTGTTGGGCGTCACTCGATTCTCCTGCTTTTACTGCTGCCGCTATTGGTTGCTGCTGGTGCCGGTGGTGCCGCTGTGCTTGTTTGAAACTCAACGCACCTAAAATGCGGCTCTGAACTTTCGCAACAGCTTCTGTGAGTTTTCGCACGGTCCCCTGTGAACTGTTGCAACAGCCTGGCACATGCACTCTTGTTGAGCGAGTCATCGCAAACCTTCTTTTTTTACACGCTCGAGCCATTCGTTCTTCCACTAAAACCCTCCTGTCCATATTGAGTACCGTACGGCGGAGTTGAGCAGACGCACCATGTACCCTGCTATGCGCGCCCTGCGAAAAAGTCGACGCCGCCCGTTCGAGCCCGAAATTCGGATACCGCACGTACTTTTTGTCTGGGACTATTGTCAAGCCTCGTGGTCATCTCCGCCGCGTGTACGGTACTATTCTCGTCAGGGCGGGCGCGATAGACGTCGCGGTGTGATCTTAATCTGATCTGATGCGAGACGTGTGTGTGAGTAGCGTGGAGCCATACGCGCCACTCAAAGCTAAAACGTCAGGAATATCGAAATTTGTTTTTCGTGTTGTATTAGTGTGTTCGGGGGGCGTTGCATGGCCTGCGGAGACTTTTGTTGCTATTTGATGAGAGGTTGCGGTTGCCTGTAGAACAGGGAAGCTGGGCGGTTCGTCTCGACTGCGTCGCATGGATGGCTCATTGACTCAAACGACTAACACCGAACGAACGATAACGATTCCTTCTCCCCTTCTCGATCCCCCCCCCGCTCTCTCTCTCTCTTTTGTCCCCTCCGTCTACCCGTATTGTCATGTTCCGCCTTTTCTGGCTTGCCAACACCACGCAATCCTCTCACTTGGTAAAGGCCTGTTTCAAGCTGGAGATGGTGATGCCGTTCGGCGTGGCCCTCCGCGTCCTGCCGGCCGTCCTCCAAGCCTCTCTCGGGGCCGGGGGAAGCGTCGCAGACGGTGAAGGAGCGGAGGGGGCCGCTGCTGGAGCTGGCGGGCAGCTTGGCCGAGTGCTACCGCTGGTGAAGGTGCTCGTGCTGGTCATGGCCTACGTGAAACTTCTGGTGGTTAAAAACGGCCAGCTGGAGGATGACGTGCGGATACTCAGCGGGCTCAAGGTGTGACCTGAGAACGTTTCATCTGTTTGCGTTTTCGGGGGGCGGGGGGGGGGGGGGGGG